TAGCACATACAAGAGAAGCCTGCATCTACAGCTAGATTATAATTCTAGTGTCAGATTTTATGTATAAAATCACCTCCTTCTTGTAATCAAAACGAGGCCTTTTGAGAAACACAAGAGCCATCAGCCCATAATTCTATTAACGATGACTGCTGTCCTATCACATGTGCTGTCCAAGCAAAGATATTTCACTGGTGAGCACATGCTTCTCTGAAACCTGGAAAGATCTTGCAAATGATGTTTTAGGAGAGCCACAGGATAGTATAGGGGAACTAGCCAGAATGCCACAGCATTGAACCCAAAATCTTCCCTCTGACACCTGCCACACATCAGGAGAAACTCCCTCTGCAAAACCAGTGTGCAACCCCCTGTCCTATCCCACTGAAATAATCAAAGACAAAAATATTCTGATATTGGTCCAGAGTCATCACCTTTTCAGGGCAAGGACTCGTTTGCTGTGTGACATCCAGTCCTCATTGCATCCTTGTATGAAATCACCAATAAACTAATAATAAAATTGGCAAAAAGCTAAGATACAAAAACAGGAGTGATTTTCTAAGCTGAGGACTGGACTGATTTCCTTTTTTTAATGGGCAGCATTCAGGCAGGGATAAGGATTTTATAGGTAGAAAAGCAGGTCTAACGCCTGGTACTTCTAGAGACCTCACTGACGTCTGCTTGTTGAAAGTCTTCCCTTTTGTTCATCAAAAAGGAGGAAAAACCCAGAAAGTTTGAATAGATGGCATTTATCGCCACGACTGATAAAACTCAGTGGTGTCATCTGACTCCACAATAATGCTTTCTGATCGTGCAGCTAACAGATTTTATTACAGAGCCCTTTTCACTAAAGCTCCTTCCGTTCTAGTACCTCAAGAGAGCAGCCAGCTGGGAACTCCACTACCATAAGGCAACTTGAAGAGTGAGAGATTTGCCCAGTAATTATTACAAAACCATTCACAGACTTCCCAGCATCAGAATCTGTAACAATGGCCTATGTCATTACTATTTTATGTGCCAGGTATTAGCCTACAAAAAGCTTCTAAAAAAATAAACTCCTTTTTATGGCACCCACATGCTTCAGCTCACAAAATCGCTTTCAACCTTTTCAAAACGGAAAACTAAGGCAACACTACAAAGGGAATCTGTCTAACAGTCTGCCTCCAGGCTTGTGGACAGAACTGTCCATTGATTTGCAACCAACCGTTTGGAAACTCTGGTTACCAAATGTTTACCGAGAAAAATTCTGACTATATTTTAGGCAAGCTTTTTTATCTGCTACCTTTTAATATGTTAATTTACTCTGCAGAAAAGCCAAAGGGCCAAATTCACCCCTTTGATAAGGCTCCTGTTGTAGGAGCATCACTGGATGTGCACCCCAGGCATCATTCATCCGGAGAGATCACTGAGTAATACGGTCAAAATAAACACTTTTGAGTTGCACATCCTTGAAGAAAAGATAAAGGGATTGTGAAGAGAATGAGAAAGAACAGAACATCAGAGATGAAGAAAATTAGATAAAGGGCGAGGAGGAAACTGTTTGATGTAAACAGAGTGACAAGGTCGATAAAGAACTCCCATTAAAGCATGCAGTATTTGCCTATAAGCAATTTAGGCAAGGGATTTGTTTACAACTCTCTGCCAAAATCAACAGCAGATGCAAAAAATCCTCAATACTGGGTTTTTAAATAATACTAAATCTACTGTATCCAAATGCTCCCTAGGACTATGTGAAGGAAACATGCAGCTTGGTGCCGTTGTATCAGCAAACGAGGCTACTCCCTGTTGCACACTGATGAGTAGGCCCTGCAGAAGATACTACTGAGTGCATCGCAGACTACTTCAGCATGCACGTAGCTCCGAAAACATACACTGGTGCAAGATTTTATTGCTGGTGGGGAGGAAAATCTAACTTTGTGAGGACCGAGTGATCTTAGCATGGCTGCATGTTCAGACAGAACCTGCTGTGACTTTACCAAGTCAGGAAACCGAATTTGGAGATGTGCTGGAAAACCCGTGATAGCGCCTTGCACTGCTGTGCTGTAGTGCCCTTCACCATCAGAAATTCTACAGGGGCTGAATTAAAAGCAACTGCTTTCTGGGCAGATGGCGATGGTCGAGTGAATCGAAAGAACCCGGTACCTTGCTCAACAGCAGAGGGGAATTAGGGTTTTAGCAAAGGCCACCAGGCACAGCTCCTATTGTAACTAACACATCTACCCTACTGTAATTAACAGATTTAATGAGAGCTCCTCATTCCTCTTAGTCCCAGGTTAACATCTCCCTCTAGTGACCTCAATTTATGGTGGGGAATGTTTTCCTCAGCAACTCACTGGCTGATGTCCCTGTGTGATTCTGTTAAAATGATGGGAATTTGAGTCACCACTTTCCTCCTGGCATGCTTACAGGTAAAAAAAACCCAAAACCTGGCCTGGGACGAACCCGCGGTGAGAGTGAAGTTACACAATGTGCTGGCAGCAAAACCGTCCCAAGGAGCTGAACTCTGCCTTTCCCCAGCCCCGCGTTCTCACCCTCGTGCAGGAGTTCACTGCCATGAGCTTCCTTTTCGTGCCAGTTCCCTGGGGGTGGCACGATGCAAGTCCAACCATTGTTATGATCCGCGTTAAAAACAACCAACTCCACTGCTAACGCCGACAGGTTTGCGCCGTAGGACACCCTGCTCCTTTGACACAGTGGTGTGCACTGGGAAAGGCAGAAAATTGTGTCAGGTGCCACGTTCTCAGGCTTTAAAGGAAACGTATGGCTGGTGAGCCACAGAATTCCAGCCATACAGAGTACTTGGAATCTACATCCCACCTAAATGCCAGCAGTGGGAATTCCCGTCTGGTTTTGCAGCAGTCCAAAAAAAAAAAAAAATCTGGTTATCACTGGAGCCAGTTTTTAAATTGGCATGAGGAAACCAAAGGCCCTCTGTGTTAAAATTCAGAGTGCAATCACAGCGGGGAATGTGAAGTGGCGGGAAACCAGCAACTACCAGGGAAAACACACGTGCAAAGCCTGAAGTGTCAGCCTGCAGCTCCTGACTCACCGTTTTGGCCATCCTGTTCGAGGGAACTGCCGGATGTTCCCTCAAACAGAACCTGCCTTGCCTTCCTGCACCACGGCACGGAAGGCTGCTTGCAAGAAGATTTGAAAACAACGACAGAGCCTCCTGGTCTTAAAGATGACAGTTGACAGGCTGCGACCATCAACTAAACACTGTTCAAAGTCAGCACTTTTTTCCCATAGATTTTCAAAAAGATTGGAAAACATGCCGGCAATTACTTATTTCCATCTCTTTTCCTGAAATTTCCTTGACTGTATACTGGGAAGGAGACTTGAAGGGAAATGTGAAGAGGGCATATTTCTTTCATTAGCTGAAATCCTACAGTTCAAAGGGCACAACCCCTCCTCAAGGCCTATCCCCTGTACTCAAAAAGGGACCGACAGCTGCAAGACAAGCAGATTTGATCTCATTTCCCCATTACATAACCTTTGGTTGTGCAATGCAAGCGTCTGTAAAGAGTAAAGAGGAGGATCTGAACACACACAGTATACAACGCTCTGGTTGGAGCGAGTCCAGAGGAGGCCACGAAGAAGCTCAGGTGGCTGAAGCACCTCTGCTACGATGAAAGGCTGAGAGAGTTGGGGTTGTTCAGCCTGGAGAAGGCTCTGGGGAGACCTTATAGCACCTTCCAGTACCTGAAGGGGCTACAAGGAAGCTGGGGGGGACTTTTTACAAGGGCCTGTAGTGACAGGACAAGGGGTAACGGGTTTAAATTGAAAGTGGGAAGATTTAAATTAGATATCAGGAGAAATTCTTCACAGAGAGGGTGGTGAGGCACTGGCAGAGGTTGCCCAGAGAAGCTGGGGGTGCCCCATCCCTGGAAGTGTCCAAGGCCAGGCTGGATGAGGCTTGGAGCAACCTGGTCTAGTGGAAGGTGTCCCTGCCCATGGCAGGGGGGTTGGAACTGGATGGTCTTTAAGGTCCCTTCCAACCCAAACCATCCTGTGATTCTATGATTCTACTTCACTCACATTTCAACACCCTTCTGGAGAACTACATAAAAAATTCCATTACTTTGTGTGCTGTTTAGGATAACATTGCACAGAACAATGGCAGAAAGACTCGTTGTTTTAAGGGTGTTTTACAGTGTGCTTTCAGTTGCAGCTCTTAGCTTTTGAGCTGTTCAGAAGACAGGAGAGTGGCTTTTTCTTTCTTCTGTTTTGAAATGGTATTTGTTTATATATTCCAGATAAATCAGAAAACAAGAAACAAAAATCCACACTATTTTAAGCTATTCTGTGTCCTGCCAGTGTCTCATCTGTATGCAGCATACACTAGATTTGCCTAGAAGGATTTAGCTCAGTAGCTGGCACCTTAACATCAGAGAACAACATACACAGTTTCAATCGATTTCAAGCGTTCTTATAATGGGAAATAAATATGAAAAGTGGTTGTTGCTGAAAGTTCAAAAAATGCAATCAACAAATTGTAAAATCACAAAAGGCCAGACAAATTTAATAAAATATTTCCATTTACCTTCCTCAGCTTTACACAGCCTGTTCAAAATAAGATTCTCTGCAGAGAGCCTTTATCCAACTGTTTATATCACTTCATACAAAATATGTGTTTGAATTACCACAGCAATACAAGGATATGAAGTCCCAACACGCGACATGCCAAATTCAACATAAGTTATGCTTTCTTGGCATCTAGACATTTTCCTTTTCTGTACTCCAGAGACATTTTCATTTGAAACAAATTAAAAAGCATGTAGATGTTAAAACATAATGACAGCTTAGAATTCAAGTGACTTGTGCAACATCATTTTGTGCTTTCTACTTCTCCATTTCCTCCTACTGCAATTAAAATTCATCATGCCCTACTACATATACAACAGCAACGCATCGAGTTCAGTCCAGTAGAGGTTTTCCACCTTCAGGCTTGGCTTTATACTACACCATCACCTCACGCATTCAAAAAAGGGCATCTTTTGTGTGATCTTTCTTTTATGTTGGATGATGTGAAGCTCTGATTAGTTGATGCAGGAATGCAACCTTGAGGTATGATTGCAGCCTCAGAATAATTCTTAAATGTAAAAAGAAATTTTTTGAGTGTGCACGCCCTTTCTGGATTTAAAAAAGGCACCATTGTAATGGTGCTACTAGAGCCACGGTACAGTACATCATGGCACATCTCCGTAACATAATCAAGGACATGAGATAGAACTTCTATTTACACAAACTTGATGCCACTTCCAGAAAAATATGACAGAAAAAAAAAAAAAAAGGAAAATATTATTTCCTGATTGTCCTGAATCTTTAGAAGATTCCTTTTACTTTCTCTTCAGCAATAGAGTGGTCCTCCAGAACTGCGTTTTCCCTGACCTGTTTAGTACGAACCGTAAGTGACACCAGTGGAACTGGGAATCCTACGGCAAACTGCTTCCTTTGAGGGGATGCTCACCCGTGCCCCTTTACTCACAAGCCAGCTTGCTGTCAAAACTTGAAAGGGCAATGGCAAAGGCTTGCAGCGCGCACATTGGGTAGTTGTAGTCCATGGTGAACACGTCCTCAGCCACACGGCCAAACTGCATCACTATATAGTCAGCTGCAAGAAAGGTCATAAAAGGTGACAAAGTATTATTTTTGTTTGCAGGCCTTACTACAGAAGTATGCATTTAACATCACCTCTGGCCCAGCTCAACAACAAAACATCGCTCATCAAACGTTGCAACGCCTATTCGTGCAAGTGGGCGTGCTGACATCAGAGGGAGAAGCAAGGATAGCGTGAGTGAGGAACACTTGAGTGGTAAAGCATTGCAAGACTTGTTACTGTCAAAAAAATTACACAGCTAAAAAGTGGTTTCTACAAGCACAGAGAGAAAATTGCTATGGTATAGAATGCTCAAATTTCTTTATAGACCTAGTGAGGAGGAGTTCGACATGTACCAAGAACCAATTAATTTTATTCCCACTTAGCTTCAGGCAAGTGGACAAGCAAGGATAGCGGGGGAAGAGAAGGCATAATTGTGACCTTGACCTAATCATGTGTCTCCATTCTATCATATTCAGAAATTCTTCCTCAACTTTTTTTTTCCTTTTTGTACTCTGTCAGCAAGAAGAAACCTCAGCCTCATTCACCGTTTGAAATGCTTCATTGCAGAAGCAGGTGTAATTTTTGATCTTGTAAAATGCAGCAAATGCGTACATCGATGTTTCAAATTTAGCGTTGCTCTGGGAGACTGGCTCTGGGAGATTGCCCTGCAGTGCAAGCACGGCACTGGTGTAGCGTCGTATGCCGGCCTGAAGTGAGGGCAAAGTGGGGCAGTATCGCTCCACTTGAGCACTGGTCTTTATCCCTGCTCCAACAACTGTACCTAAGCTTGAGAAAGAAGGGGGCTGGACATTGCTGGCAGAAAGCAGCACATCAGTATGGTCCTAGTGATGGTGTGAAAGGCAGTCCTGACATTTTAAGGGTGTTATGTAGTGCTAATGCTACAAAGAATAGTAATGGCAAAGTGGGTGTGCGGTGGGACTGGTCCGACTGCCACCATTCTCCAGCTGGGCAGTGGATGGGGACCACAGTGAACCACAAAACCAAGGAAGGATCGTGTGATACGACTGCTTGAGCAGCGTGATACTCTGAGGTCCTCCTGAGTGGAAGTACTAGAGAGCAGAAACGACTCTGAACTGTTGCTCAGTTCGCAAGCCGGGCAGCCAACGAAGAAAACAAAGACAGCACATAGCAGAATCACGGGTCTCAAGCACGAGCATTTAAACACCCAACCTGCACCAATGTCATGGTCACAAGGCAGAGCAGCATGAAGTTGGACCCACATAACTAAATTTAACTCGCTCAGGTAACAACAGTAAGGGCAGAATCCCCGCCAGGCTCTGTGTGCAGTACTGTTTCTACACGTTACAGACAGAGAGCTGTACTTACGATCATTATCATGAATAATTTGGAAGTTTTTCACTGAGGCCTGTGTGACTCGACCATGGAAATTTAAAACATAGGACTGGGTGTCATCATTCCAGACTGGTGTTTTGTTATGCAGCTCGATGACACTCTCTGTATTTTTGTTCTGCCATCTTGCAAGAAGTGTCTCATGTTCCTGCACACACCACAGATAGATACACACTTCAGTTTAACACTTTCACAAGACAAAAAAATTAAATTCATACAAAAAACACCACATTCATAAATCCTAGCCCAAAGCTAAACTGTCACTCTCAACCCTCAAAAGAGCATCACTGAATGAAACCGAGAACTCTTGAGTATCTTAATGTGGATGTGCATTCAAGTCCTTTCCACAGCTTGGAAAAGGTAGTTGTATCTTTTGTTATGAAAATACATTATTATTTGTAATGCTTTCGTGAGTCACAGAACTAGTCACACATCCCATTGCTCTGCAATTGTTCAAATACCTTTTTTAAAGCTCTAAATCTTCAGAAATGCAAAGAAACAACTAACTGAAAACAAAATCAAGTAATTTTTATCATTGGCTGATGACTTTATGATTGACTCACGTTTCGTGGTCTGATGGAAACCCTTTCGTGGTCCATATTCATTCCTGGTACGATCACACTCATTTTACGAGGTCCTTTAAACCCCAAGACATTTGTTTCCTAAAATTTTCAGAAAACAGTCCATCAAGTTCTGTATTTTTAGAGTTAATTTATTCAACAGAGAAACACAGTGGCAGCACAGAAAACCGATTTGTTAGTCAACTCAAAAAACATCTTGCAACTCCTACCTTCACTGGCACTGCCAAACATTCTAGCTTTATCTTAGAAGCTCCGACAACAGGAAAAATGGAAATAGAGAGGTTTCCAGAAACACTCCTATCATTGGCTGCCAGCAACTTTAATACAATTAAAAAAAAAATTCTGTTGTTAAAAAAGGATATGAACTAACCAGATTGCTTGGCTACTGCAAGATCCCAAAATAAAGTTGTAATTTAAAAACCATAAAACGTAGTCACATATTTTGATGAGGACAAAATTAAATATATGGGACCAGCTCCATTCATTCCAGAGCCAGCACAAAAGCAAACAAGAAGAAGCTGCCAGTAAGAGCATCTGTTAGCAGTGCTGTGGTTTTCAAAGTCTTCAGCTATGTTATGCTTAGAGATGAGCGTGGTAAGAAACAAACACGTTAGCATGAATGCAAATTTTCAAGCTATGGAGGCAGGGAAAGTAAAGAAATAACATGGGCGCAAAACCAAATCTGTGGAAAATAGAAGTTCGTGCATTAAACATGATTTGATGCCTTTTGGCCCAGCTTTTCACAAAAGCATGCCAGTATTGCACTATCCTCTCAAAACACAACCATCAAAATCTAAATAGGCCTGAAGTCTTATTTTTATCTCTTTCTTTTTTCCACAGATGAAACTGGGACCAAATACTTCAGTAAGTCATTGACTACTTGTGAAATATTAAAAGTAAATATTTTCCAACCCACTCAGTACGACCTGACTGCCTGTTTTAGCATTAACTCTGGTAAGTGTAACAGTGACACCCCTGAAAGTCCATCTCCTCACGTTCTGTGCTACTTTTTGTTTTGGTCGTATGCATTTTTTCTCCTCTGCCTTTCCCAAGTGAAGGGCTATAGACACACACTAAGGCATCTCAGGAAGGAAATTCCCATTGGCGCTATTCCCAGCATCGTACCACAAGATGCCAAGAACTGGACACCCCAGGCTGCAGCTGGTGTGGCTCTATCAACTATTCAGAACTGCACTATTCAGGCTCTATGTCTATTCAGAAGTGACATATTCAAATGTCTCCACTTTTATATATTTAATAAAAGTGTCCTGATTTTAAAGAACATTAAACTTTTTAAAACATCTCTACTTTTACAAGCAAAAATCCACACAGCTCACTGGAAACATCTGAAAATAACTGCCTAAAAATTCCTCGTGCAGAGTTTTTGTCATCCACCAGACACAACTTTGGTGGTTTCATCAAACCATCTGGAGATTTTACACAACTCGTTAAAGACTTCCATACATGCAAGAAGAAAATCCACTGAGTTATTTTACTGAATACTCTTGAAGCAATCCAGGTATATTCATGTATCTTCGTAGCTATGTACATTAATGGGAAGATTCTACCTCTCTTCTGAATCCCTCTGTCATGACCTTTGGCAGAGTAAACCAAAGTTATGAGGTCAGCTGGAAGCACAGACTTGGCTCTGCATCGTGGCGAGACTCACGCTAGAACGACTGCCAGCAGCTTTTATAAGCAGGAGAGACTCAGCAGAGCAGAAGACAATTTCTAAGAAAAGGTTCATGCTTATGCTTATTTTCCACTAACTACTGACAATCCCAGTCTTCCCTGTCATGCCTTGTAAGCTTTTCTTCTTATCAAGCTGCAGTTATGCTACGTACAACAAGTTTGGATGCTGCCTGTTGAAGACATTGTTCAAGCTAAAATAATAGCACTGAATCACTTCCCTCCCACTAAGCAGTATTATCACTGAAAAAAACCAGGACTATATTTTTTTGATTTACTCAGAACCTCTAAACCAAATACATCTGCCAGTGATAAGGGAATGGTTTCTAGTTGCACATTACAATCAGTCACCAGCTATATCAAACGTTTTACTGGCAATTGCTAAAATCAAGGTACAGAAATTAAATTCTACAATCATGGAATAGATGAGGAAAACAATAGGGACAAAAGAGGAGCTTTAATTAAGAGCAGAACTTTCCAATCTACTTGTATCCACATCAAATTATTTCCCCTTTATCTCCTGTCTCATACCCTGCTTCTCTTTTACTTCCCTCCTCCACTATTTTGTGTGTGCAAATTCAAGACTACAAATGGCATTATTAGGGGAACACTGGCCAAATCCCGATTACACACCACTTTAATGCTGCTGACATCTTGGTTTACACAGGAGCTCAAAGCAGGGGTTGTTAGCTGGCAGAGCCCTGCTGCCTCAACCAGCACGGCAGTGATTTAAACCAGCCAGGGACCTGGCCCAGCATTGCCTGGAAGCTGCGGTCCCTGCCTTAGCCCAACCAGTAAGCCGTTCCTGTGAGCGTGTCATGCTAAACTGGACTGAAAGAACACAGAACTGCTTTTAAAACCTTACGCACTTTCACAGAGTTATGTAAGCATTTGGCTGCGGTGGCAGTAGCTGCCAGAGGAACGGTGGCAAGGTGTGCATCTCAACAGCTCCCAGGAGATTCCCGATTTAATTACCCCCATTTTCTTTCAGCCACTTTCCTTCCTGGACTTGCTTTCTCACATCTATGCCCTGTCCTTAATCTGTCACTCTGCAGAAAGGACAGAACCCCCGACACTGGAACACAATGCAAGTGATTGAGGCCGGTGTGGAAACACGTCGGTTTATTGCTTCACAGCGACCCGGGTCACACCGCCGAGCACCCGCTGAGCTCCCTGCCCGCAGCACCTGACCAACCCAACTGCGAGGTACCACGGAACATCCTGGTACAGACGGTACCGTTACAGCTCCCCGCTGCGTGACACATTCTGCCCAGCAATTCTGAAATCAGCCATTAGGTGCTGCTGCAGGTTTATCAAAATCCTGCCGGTTTATTATAATGCTGGCCTGCCATCAGCAGGGAGAGTAAAAATGGGTCATTTCTGTTGCTGGAAACGTGCCCTCAGGTGAGCTCCCCAGGGTGAGCTCTCAGCACGTCCATCCCGGTGAACACAGACGCATCCCCAGCTCCTGCCCGCGTGAAGCAGACCTGCTGCGGTGGTGCAGCAGGCCAGGCTGGGTACAGCCTGCTCTCCAGACCCGTACCTGATCGGATGAGCTGAGACAGTGAGAGCCACAGCGGTGCTTCCAAAGCACTGCTTATTATAGCTTTTGCTACAGGAAAAATCTCAAGGCAGGAATTGAAAGGTTACTTTAGGATAGGGGTGTTTCAGGAGTGCTCTCTGCCGTGGTACTGCAGCAGCCAGGAACAATCATCTCACTTTAGCAACCTGGCTAGTAATGAAGAATCATTCTGATTTCCTTCGTCCCCTGGCCATAACACCTGCAAGCCTGCTGCCTTTCCCCATGAGTATCCAAGTATCAACAGAACGAGACATTTTCTTATACAAATGCATGAGTTTTAAACTGCTGATCTCAAAACAGACACATAAGCAGCTTCTCTTAGCCACATTCTCCAAACAGTGGCCAAGGTTCTGTTCTTCCCGACACTCACACTTCTAATGACCTCTGCTGACCACAACTGAGTTTATATTTGGTTCAAATGTCACTGTTGTTGATTTTATAAGCAATGCCAAAATTTTTCAATATATAACTTTTTTTTTTTTTTAAACTGCTTTTTGTTTTCTCCTTGTATTTCCAATTTGCACCAGAAGATTAGGTGTTTGACTCTAGGGAATGCCCTCCTATAAGCCAGTAAAATTCCCTTTATTAAACATGTAAATTCTCTTAGGTTACTACTGAAACTCAAGTCAAGCTCTAAACTGACATCAAATCCTGGACTCTGTTGTTAAATCGTGTTAGCTGGATTTTCGGAAACTCTCAGAGTTTCAAATCCAATGGGAATGGAGGGATAGGTATGTCTGTCTGTCTGCAACCACAAGCCATGTGCCTGAATAAAAGCACACCTCAACAAACACACTATTTATACGACATTCACAGAAAAACTGCATCCCGAGCAGCAAGATGAGAGCACGTTAGGAGTTAATACTGCCACCCCTCCAGGCTCTCAGCACTTCGCGTGGAAAGGATGGTTCTCTCCTTTCTTCTTCATGTGCCACAAGCTTCCAGACAACTGCTCCCCGCATCCTGAAGCTACCTTTCCAGGAATGCATTCTGTGCACACGCAGGATGCAGGGATGGCTGGATCTTCATCTGACAGAGCTCCAGGCATCCTTGATTAGAGGCTGGTCAGGAACTTTTCAGAAAAGTGCTTCTTGGACATTTTTGTCAGCAGTTGTTGGTTTGTGAAAACAGTTTCTTGGGCCCAGAGATTTCTGGACAGAAAGAATACTCTCACCAAAACAGTTGCCCAGTAATCACGAAACAACAGCAACTGCCTTTCAAGCTTTGATTGTCTGAAATGCCCCTCACAAATGCTATTTACTGTAAGAGACTGGTTTCTCTCATTCAACTGAATTTTGGATTTTGTCTGAGGTTTGTTTGGGGTTTTTTCATGGTAAAAAGTAGTTTTAGAGTTTTTATTCAAGTCTCTCAGCCCCTACTGCAGACCTGGCTGTCCAGCAACCTGTGTTTTGGGTCAGAGGCCTCCTCCAAAATGCCATTACAAATTACCACGTTTTTGTGAAGTAACTCCATGTGCACAACTTTTCCCAGTTCAGGAGGCTCCCTTGGATGGTGCCTGCAGGCTGAGAAGCATCCTACCCCTTCCAGAGGGTTATGTGAAAGCACCAACACCTTCTGACCAAAAGTGAGAACTGGGCAACCTGGCACAATGTTTTTCACCTCCACTTTCCACTGCTTTTCCTGGTTTCTGTAGTGGAGATCAGCTGTTTGATTACATCAAACTATGAATATTGATTTACATAATCATAAGTGAGGAGGAAATTCAGTGTGCTATTTCAGAAACCAAGCTGCCCTTTCTTGCATATTTTGCCTGTGAGCAGTACTTACATAACAAATAGCAGCTAGCTCCTGACGCAGGGTACTCGCCTCCAGGCTTGATGTTGTTTTCATTGGATTTACTCCATTGTCATAAACTGTAAACTTAGTTCCCATAAGATTTGATCTATCAAAAAAATGGAAAATCCAATCACCATTTGTCAGTAATGCTGCCCAAGACATCTATCCTTCACTGCACCGCAGCCCCAAAGGATAGACAGATAATACCGAGTACAGATGGTTAATTCTAATCCCAACTAAATGGCAACTCCTGGAATGAAGGCTGTAACACAGATGTAAAGGTTCAGTACAGCAACGTATACTAAAGGCCCCTTATTACACTGAATGTTTCTCATGACATCTTGCAAATTAGTAAAGTCAAGAAAGCAATAAGGGAACACTGAAAGGGGGTCGTTTTGTTTGTTTGCTTGGGTTTTAAAATATGCTTACTCTCTACAAAACTGTCTGCTTTCTTACCTGACCACTCACTTGATTAGAGCACAGAGTGATTTTCATAAAGTTATAAATAAAGTCAGTCTTTCCTGCTTAAATGGAAATCACACCAAGGAGCATGAAACACAAAATACAACATACTAAACCCACATTATCCTCATTCTGTGTCTGCACTACCATAAATAGCACATAAAGTTCCAAGATCCACCCAGGCAAATGGTAATTAGCAGCAGTCCCTTTCCTCAGGCCCAGACAATCTAAACATACATTGAGAGACTCCACGTAGGTATCAACAACAGACTGACGTATGATGGGGTGACAGACAGAAAAGAAACATGTTCTGAAAGAATTCTGCTACTTGTAAGTAACTCTAAATAGGATCTTAAGAAATGGGCAAACCCTGTGTTTCAGACTTTCAGATTGTGTAAAACAACTTCCATTCCAAGGTATTTATATCAACAGGAGCTTGACACAATCTACTCGCTCACTTCTGAAAATCCCATTAAGATAAGATGTGCTCATACACCCTTGAGAATCTGGCCTTTGAGCATTTAAGAGCTTCATAAAAAAATGTGATCTTGTAAGTACTTGAGATGTTTTAAAAACATACATGGATACTGGTGTACTTTAAGACCATTATCACATGATGCAGTCAAGCCTCTAATTTAGTCACAGTGCCTTACAGCCTTCTTAATTTCAAATTAACTTTATATTACATAAAGAAAATTCTTAGATGTATCAGTGTTTACCTCAGTTTTCCAATAAAACTCTCTCCACCCCGAGACAGGTCAGTTGGGTCTATGGAGATGAGGTAATTAGAGGTTTTACTCTTCTTTCGTTTCCTTCCAGCTAACAGAAACACCTAAGCAGTGCAAAAAAACATATTCTAGAATGCCAAAGCAGTTAGCACACACCACTTCCTGCTTTGATATAAGGAAACCACAGGCAATTTTTCTGTCTTCCAGCATCATAAGCAAAATAACAGAAGTGCTCCTGGGACTTAGCAAAACCAGTTAAAAATCTGGAGAGGGAAAGTGACTTCTCAACCACTCAGTCCATTATTTATGGTTTAAATAATTAAATTTGATCTATTTTGTTAAATGTTTCATTCTAACTTGCTCTGGCTCTTCCAGCTGAATTGAAAATAGATGCTTTTCAGGCCACAGAATGCAGACAGCCCCAACTGCTGACTGTCACATAAAGGTGCCATGCATGGATTATTTAAAGCCGAAGATCAGACATGTGAAGAAAGGCAGTAGAACAAAGTGACACTATTGTTTTGCTTTTGGAAGACTGCAGGGGAGATCTCAGTAAAAGGGAAAATATATTTTAAATATAAGATTATATTTTCTTTGTAAGACTTCTTCAGACTTGTCATATTTTTTTTTAATATTCAGATGCAACTGGTATGCCATTCAAGTTATTTTATGACCTTTTTACCATGCTCCCTTTCCAAGTGGAGGTAATAAGTAGGGTACATCCCTCGGTCCATTCCCTTCTTGTCTCTTGTGATTCTGCATTTGACAGTGACACCCTGCGGAGCAGGTCTTACAGCAAATTCCTCCAGGTCATCGACATCTATGAGAGGCTCATTTGTGGAGGGACTGGGGGCTGAGGCCGCTTCCTAAAACAGTAAGCAAAACTTAGGTTTCCTCAACTTCCATTTACCAGGTCATAAGTACAAAGGAATGACATTTGATAGAAGCTGCACTTTGAAGGTTAAATACAAGGGACATACTGCCTTCCCCGTTCCAATTCCTCAGCAGCCTTGAAGGCAGCTTACCAAGCTAAGGATCTCTCCCCATCCAATTGCTCAAGATCTTGGCTACCAAAGGCCCAGGGAGCAGTTCTCTGCACACGGACACGCCTGGCAAAGCAGAACAGGGTGGCTGCACCAGCGGAGTGCTGTAACGTTACAAAGCATGCCCTGGCTCACACCTTCCCATCTCAGCACACTCCTCTTTTCATCAAGGCCTTACCCAAGGACAGTGATAGCCTTTGATGAAAGGAAGAAACGGGATGGGGACAGACAGATTAAGCTAGATAGATAACAGAAATAAGAAATCAGTGCAGTATACAGAAGAGTGGGGCACCAATTGCATCAACTGTTTTACCAAGAGCTTGTGATTTGCAATATTTGAACAAACCAAAGTCTTATTTTAAGTTTGAATGGTAGCAGTGGGAACTGAGTGGGAAAATGCTCAGAAAAAGGCAACAGAAACAAAAGATCCTTCCAAGCATCTGCAAGAGGCAGAAAGGTGAATATTTACTGTTTACTTTTCTCTTCATTCAAGCTCAGATAATATTTGCTATTCTTTTCTCCAAGTCATTATTTTCATTGTTTGCTCCTGTGAACCCTGACAGCTATCACAGTAAATCACCTTGGAGATACCCTAGTGCATATTACAAACAAAACAAAAGAAAGCCAGGCCCACCCCGAGCGCCCTGTGAAATCACGCAGTACACGGCAGCCGGCACGCTCCTTCATCCGCACTCGCCCCTTACCTTACTGGACTTCTTGCTCGTGGCAGAACCAGGCCTGGTGTTACTGTTTAACTGTGAAGAACTGGAGCTATCTTCATCTTCCTCATCCTCTTCCTCATCAAAATTCATGCTGCTTGAAATGCCTGAGGAGAAAGCAGTGCACTTGTATGAAATACCAATGCATTATAGCTGTCCATGCTTGCTGTAAAATACCACTTATTATACCGTCGCACCCTTCGGCTCACAGAGGAGAGAGGGTGTGTGTGGGGTTCCCTGTGCGAGGCAGTTCACAAATACGTGGGTGAGACAGTACCCGCCCTAAGAAGCCAAAACATTTCAGCAACTGAGAAAGGAACTATGATGGTTTCCCTTCCAGAGAGAGGATTGGGTTACCCACTGATACAGGAACAATATCCAGTTAGGAATTAAATTCACATCTTTTTAACCCAATCAAGCACTTCAAACACGACGCAGAATCTGAAACCTGAAATTGGAGCTGAGTGGACAACCTGTCACAGTCATTTGGAAACCTAAACAATTGATACATGAGCCCTTCTACAGCATTCTTTTACCTGTTCCTATGTGATCTGACGAAGAGCAAATCTTAGACTGAGAAGAAACATCCACATCAAGAAAATGTTCTCATGCATATTTATTTCATGCACAAACACCAGTATCAGCCCAGGCCAAAGGAACTGCCTTACAGCACTTAAAAATTTGACTTCACAAGAATTCAAAACCTCAGACATTTCAAAGGGAAATGCAGCTTTGAACATCAAATAGGATTTAGCAGCAGAAAGTGTCGATGGTGGGACATTTGCCAGGCCTGGTTTTTCAAGGAATATCATGCAGATGAAGCCAACCTGCCCAAACTCTAAGTTCCACATATTAGAGGCTAGCTACACAGTATATTTTCCCCACAAAAAAAAACCCAAAACAAACACTTGGTCCAGAATTTCCACTATTGGTAAGTCCAATGCAGAAGGATAAATAAAATGCAAGGATTTCCAGACCCTAGCAGCATGGGCATAATGAACTTTTTCCTTCTGTACTTACCAGGAACATGATCCAGGGTGACAAGACTGGATTGGGAGGTGGAAGAGGACCAGGATGTATTTGCATGGGGATCTGGGAAAGGAAAAAATCCATGGGCTTGATTCTGCAAACCCTTAATTGAGTGAACAAGCCTAACTTGCCAACAGGACTCCAGAAAGGGCTAAAGGCTTACTGGATGGGGCCATAATGCTGCTGCCAAAATTCTCAGTTATGGATATTTTCTCTTTCTGCACAATCAAATTCGCCTTCTACCTTCTTATACCTGCTGCCACCTACTTTTTGAGTATTTGGAATAAAGTCAAAAAACCCTGCATCACGGAAAACATCATCCACGCTGGCCAGTTGTGCCACAAACCCTTCTGTGCACAATGTGACCTGCATGGCTGGCTTTTGGCCTACTTTTGAATTCTAACACCAAAAAAACCCCAAACTCCTGATCTACACAAGTGATATAGACAGATTCTATGCAAATACTTGTTCAATAACACTGAAAAAAGTATTCAGACTCATATTCGGATGACCTAAATTCTACCTAAATCCTGTGCCCACTGTGTCCCCATCATCTCTCTCATAGGCTCTCTAAACTATTCTTCTGGGACTTCCAGGGATATGTGTAGACTTCCATGTACCTTAGTCTTTTGGAATATGAGCTTGATCTGCAACAAGCAGCGACGGAACCAAACTAACGTACAGAAATATAAACATTAGAGACAGTATCAGTAATGGCTTTCTTCAGTCCAAATTTTGGAATGCAATTAAAAAAAAAGAAAGACACCAAAAAAGGCTTTTAAATATTTTTTATGTTATTGCTGCTTCCAGTAACTTCAGTGCATATCCCTTTTGAGACCAGATGCACACTGGATAGTGGAACAACACCAGAGCAGTAAGAGCGAGTGCATAGAAGTAAACCAGAAGCATATGCAGTGCTTGTATTCCATTCAGCTGCACCTGGGGTGGCCGCATCACCCAATTCTTCAGTTCCCCCCGTCTGGACATACACCATGCAGCACAACAGCAAAACGTGACAAGAGCATCTGGTTATGCAAGGGAGGCTGGAGTTCACAGGTCAACAGCTATTTTCAAAGCCTGTAGAACTCATTATTAATCACACTGTCATTAATCACAATCATTATTTCTTAGTAATGACAGCCACGTTCTAGTCAGCTATGCATTAGCATCTCCTCAGCTGGTAACTGTGCAGTAAAGCCACACTTGCACCTGCACAGACAGAATCAGTTTATTTCTATATTCGTGCTCACTATTTCACTACCACTGTTGTGGTGGTGAAAATTCTGTGGCAGCCTTAGGAAAGTCAGCACTCGACCTGTGGGGAAGAATGCTTCAGAGACCTCCTGTTTTGTTTTTGAACACAGAAATCAAATGTATTCCTTCCCTAAATCTCAACACAGTTGTAACTTCAGGTGGTGAAGAAGAACTGAGACCAAACTGCTCATTCCAAGTCTTCACAGACACATACAGGAAACTGAGAATGGTGAAGACTAAATGTTAGTTACCCACTGCTAAAACTTATGGAAGTCTGTCTCTGTCCTAGTGACTCGTTTGCCAGAGAGGAACTCTACATGTTAAGACTTCTGAAATCAAAAGAACAAATATTTCCCGCACAAAGTAAATCATTCTAGTATGGCAATTTACAACAGATGGAGAAATCAAATAAAACATTTGGCATTTTCTCACAAGCGACATATTCTTTTCACGCTCAGAGACCCTATAGCCTCTCGTCTTGTAACAGAACTTGACTTGCTGGGGAAGCAGAGACGTGCTGAGAGAGGCTTCTCTGCACCAAGTGTGAAAGAGCAGGATGGGCACAAACCAGGGTTATGCAAATCTGATGGGACTCAGCCTTCCCCATGAGGGCAATTAGCACGTATTTGTGTCCTTCTCCTTGTGCTCCTATTCCATGCAAGAAGTGGACTGATGGGAGACAGCAATTCTGAATGCTTTTCAGACCAACGAGGACATGCCAGTAAGGACACGTCACAAGCAGAGAAGCAGCAGTGGGAATCCACATGGAAAGCCCTAGCTCCACAGGAAGTTTCCCACGAACACTGGGATGCTCAACATTTTCTAACAAGCCTCCTCTGCTGGTATCAAGTGGCAAACCACACACACATAGTAAAAATATTTTATGAAGATGCTGCTGGTTGCAGTCCTGTCTTAACATCTTTCTTTGTGTCTCACCAAGCATAGCTCTCACGTTAATGAGTAAATCTCACCGTTCCCATTTAAAAAAGCACCCTCCCCCCAGCTAGAAGCATACTGGTGGTGCACTCTTAGCAGTGTCTGTTCTGATCAGGAGAATAGTCAGACCTGAGTAAAAAGGTCATATCGATATATTTAAGAATATGAAGCCACAAAGCAAACCAAATCAACAAAAAAACCCCACCCACTGCTTCTATTAAAAATAAACAAAAAAATGAGGAGAAAAATGTATTTTAACCTGGAAAACCATCAAAAATAGGCATGTCCCTCAGAGTAAAAATCTGAGCACTGTGACCTAATTTGAGAAGTCTGTTGACAGTTTTTAAGTCAATCAGCTTTAGTAAGTAGTGTGTGTGTGATAATTAAATATTCTGAACCATGGTGTAAAGCAACACAATCCCCACACAGATCAGAACTTGTTAGTCATGCCAACATCCCTCTGACTCAAATGCCCAGGAAATACCACACTCGGTGGAAATCTGCCCATTTCAGTTGAAGTTGCTCACATCTGCAGAGCAACGTCCCAGAAGAAATGAATGTTAGTGAGAACTGCTCTGCAGACAGGAGACGGGCATTTAGGTATGAATCGTCTATTCTAGATGAGTCAAGTTCGCACTTACATTTTGCTCTTTATACACAAAGAGTTTATTCTTAAAGCATCAGAGCACTCTTGGCTTGAGCCATCTTTGCTTCAAAAGCTGTACACTGAGGAAGAACAATTCCAAAGCAAGTGCCTTCAGAAAAAGCTTTGTGAGGATTTTTTTTCTCCTTCCCACTGTTAATGTCTACTGAGCGATTCACAACAGTGCAGGAAGGAAGAGACGGATGCATGAGTGTGTACATACGAGAAGAGGAGGCTCCGAGAAGACCTCATTGCAGCTTTCCAGTATCTGAAGGGGGCCTACAAGGGTACTGGGAGAGGACTTTTTACAAGAGCCTGTAGTGATAGGACAAGGGGTAATGGGTATAAATTGAAATCAGGGAGGTTTAGATTAGATGTCAGGAAGAAATTCTTCACAGAGAGGGTGGGGAGGCACTGGAACAGGTTGCCCAGAGATGTTGTGGATGCCCCATCCCTGGATGTCTTCAAGGCCAGGCTGGATGAGGCTTGGAGCAATCTGGTCTAGTGGAAGGTGTCCCTGCCCATGGCAGGGGGGTTGGAACTAGATGATCTTTAAGGTCCCTTCCAACCCTAACCATTCTATGATTCTATGATCATGCATGCCGCTGGAGAAAAAAATATATTCCAGATCATTTGAGGAATATGCATGGGAAATGCTGCAGAATACACAGTGCTGTAATTTTTACCTCTGCAAGCACGAACACACATTACGAAAACATGGACAATATTTAACCGACAACACAACTAAAATTAATATTCTAGTTTCAATGTTGCTGTTCCACACTCTTTTTTTAAACCCTCAAGTAAGTGATTTCCATAGCTGTACAACATAAAAATGTGAACAGATGGATATGAGCATTAGCATCTGCCTGGTACCTTAATAGCAGCACGACACCGCACTTCAGATGGGAAAGCCACATCCCCGAGAGCCTGGAGAGCTCTTGTTCAAGACAAGAGAGAATTTAATAATTTTTTTTCTTTTTGAGATAATAGAATACAGCCTAACAGGCTCTGAGGAGAAGAAACACAGAGTAACAATCTCTGCTGAGGCTGGGGCTGAAAGTGAAACTAGGAAAAGGAGTCAACATACATAAAGCAAGCAATGAGGGCATGAAGGCAGCTTTGGCGACTTACCTCTCTTCTGCATGGCTGTTCTAAGGTCTTGTTTGCTTTGCTGTTGTTGGCCACTAGCCATTTTCTCTCCATCATCTTCATCATGGCTAGACTGTCCAACAGTGAGAATCTGCACTTGACTTCCTATCTTCTGAATATCATCTTGGAAAGCAGCTGGGCCATCAATCCCTGTCAGACAACAGCACAAGCCTTAGTTATCTTTGTGTCAAAGACAGAAAGAGAATTGCTCACTCATAAAAAGCATCTGTCCTAAGAATCAGAAATCAGAGGTTCGCATTCAATACTATTTCTAGACTTAAACAAGACTAAACTGTACTCTAAGGCAAACATCTTACTTCCCACACACTGCACTGGAGAAACTCCAAGAGGTGATCAGGATTTCACTTTTCCCCATCTCCCCCTGCCCCCCAAATGCACCCATACATGCACCGGATACACTGAAAACCAAACAGAGAAATTCACTGGGGAGGACTGACAAAGAAAACAGATGCAGCTTTCATAAGGACACACAACTGGTACAGAAACAGATAAGCCTGAGTCCCAGATTATGCCATATCCCCTAATACACAAGGCTGCCATTATGAACTGATGCTTCAAAGTTTCAGATACCTGGAAAATCCACAAGTAGATGTAGCAGTGTATACAACAGGAAGAGCAGCAGGTTAACAAGGCTAAATATGCCTACTGACAGTTGAAACATCAGAGTGAAACCATGAAAAAGATAATACATATTCCCTGGAACCTCCATCTTCTGAGATGCTTAAATCCTGACCAGGCAGAGTCCTGGGCAACCGGCCCTAAGCAGGAGCATGGGACTGGACAGTCCTCAGAGGCACCTTCCAGCCTCACCCATGCTGTGATTCCGTGGCTTCTGATGGCAGCCAGAAAGAAACTATTTACCTCCTTAGAGCTGTAATTCACGTCCAAAGACAGAAAAAATGAAAATACAGGGTGGGATGTGTTCTTATCCCGAGCTAACTTCATTTTTTTTCTTCGGGACAGCAAGTTAAAACATCAGATTGCAAACGGACTTCAGCTCTTCGTTAAGACTTAGCGATGGTATATATTACAAAAGTAGCTATATAAAAATGTACTTTTCTACCAGTAAAAACGGTAATAGTATCACGTACAGGTATAGTAAATAACGTAAGTATACTGTTACTGAAATTTTTGTTAATAAGGAAGCAACACTGTGGAGAATTAGCAAGAATTACAAAGGGCTAGTTCAGTAAAAGAATATGGTGCTCCTCACGACAAACAGAGCTGAAAAATCCTGTAAGGAGCTGTAGGGATTGGGATTTTTTCAGACTGTGATCCGTAGCAAAAGTCTCCAAGAATACCTTTTCAACTCGCTTTGCCAGCAGCTGCCAACTTGCATTAAATACACGTGGATTATACATTTAGTGTGCTTAGCCCTAGTTTGCCATATTTGCTGTCACTGCCACTGCCAGACCAAGTGTAAGTAAGAAAGAGAGTGGCCCACACCCTCAGGAACAGGATCGGCACTGGATGTGCAGCTACCTAACAAAATGCAGTCCAATGCTGCAGAACTATTAAATTCACAGAGTTGAAGGAATTCACAAGGAATTATTGACTCATCTGCATCACAGACTTGTATCTGCCAATTTTGGCACCAATCCTGTAAATTCCTATTTACTTACACTAAAACTAACAACAGCAACTAAACACAAATAAACAATCTGTCCAGCCCACCTTGAAGGACTAAATAAAGTCCATGTAAATTTTTCTCTCACCTTGGTAGGATGACAATTTCAGACACAAGCTCTGTGATGCAGAATGAACAATACGCTCTCATGTGTTGCAGGTATAATATGGCAGTGAACAAAACAGCATTTTTCTTAAAAGTTATCTCAGGATAAGCAATACTGCAAAGGTGCTCTAGAACAGACAGGTAGCTGCTCAGATCCACTGTGCTATTTTTAACAGCTTTAGCCATATTAACTATTATCGTTAAAGTGGCTGCCTAAAGTTAGTTTTTTGTTAAATTCAGAGTACAAAGGTTAAGTGTTAAGCACCCATGAGTTTAACAAGATGCTCATACCTCACGCATATCTATCTAGCCCCTTATTAAGTTTTGGATGATACAAACCTGATTTTGAGAACGCATTCCAAAAGGAACAAAACACCTTAATTATTCTTCTTCAAAGCAGATATTGATCTGCAGCAAATGAAATGCGTTTGACAGCATTAGCCATTGCACCGAGGCTGCTTTTTTCTGCTGCCTGCAGAACATCTGCGCTCACATCCCGTGCTGTCAGGAACATCACGCAGAATTAGGCGTTAGGACAAAGGCTACTCTGGTAGGTCACACTTTTAAGGAAGAAAAATCAATTTCAGTATTCTGAAGAGTACATCACTGGTAGAGTGTGTTATTAAGCATTAGGAATGGTTCCTCTGGTGACCCTGTTTAAGGGACTGGAAGATGTAGGCAGACAGAGATGGAAAAACAAAAAAAGATCCTCTGCAGCATTAGAATACTGCAGCTCGTTGGTGGCAAGTGCAACGCTAACTATTTCATACTTGTGTGTGAGCCCATCTTCGCAGCTACACATCCATGTGTAAAACGGTACTAAGTGCAAGCACACATCCACATTTCCTTTTTTCTGTATCACGAGATGTAAGTGTATCTTTGTAAGTCATCGTTCAAGAGGCAGCTTTACCATCACCTACCTAATGTCTGAAAAACAGGCTTGCATAATCCTGATTCTCAGGGTGGAAGCCTCCCTGTGTTCTCACTTTCTTTTCTTCGCTGACTCCTTTTCACCCACTTACTGGAAGGATGGTTCACTGTGCTATAAAACTAACCATTCATGGCTACAGTTATAGGTTTCCCAGTTTAAGGACAGGGTCAAAAGAGCCAAAGAAGCTGAGCGGGCTGTACCAAAAAGAAAGTTTTTATTGTAACAGGCAGCATTTTCTATAGCTTTTCCCAAAGATCAGGTAGAAAAAAGGGCTGACAGAGATGTCCCTGAATACCTGCTGAGAAGAATAGGGAACTTTGAGAGGTAACTGCAAAGGAGGGCAAGAAGAAAGAAGACTGAAACAATGCTCAGACTACAAGTCCTTTCAGTAAAAGCTTTCTGATAAACTCTGACATGGTCCTGTCTCAGACGAAATATGTAAAATGTTTCCATAACCTGAATTCACCTAAATACTAAGAAATTCAAAATACATTAGGTAGACATGCACTAAACTTTAATCTCAGCTACTGAAAGCCTTGGGAAACGAATAAAGTGGCCAAATTTTGCTTAGTGTTTATGACATACGAGGAACGAATCTAAGCTAAGTACGTTTTATGATACCACAGTATGCTTGTTTGAAACTCCAGTTTCTAAAATACAGACCAACAACCCAAAATCCATTCAGTCTTACTGGATTTAGAAATACATTCTGAAGATACGAAGTGGAGATGTTGTTTTGTTATTCCAATCCAGCAATTAAAGAAAATGTCTTTAAGGGAGGGTCACGGGGCATACGTTTCTCCATCCTACACCCCCAGCAGCTGTCTGCTGAACAGTTTCCAACCATTTTGATATGTCCTACAGATAGATGCTAACATGACTATAAGTGAGCCAGCTCAGTTCTACTACATGCAGTTACTTTTTTCTGACAAACAAAGCAAATATAAATTAAATGGGATGGAAACTATAGATCCTGAAGCATATCCCCGCTCCTTGGGCCTACATATCTAGAGGTTGTTTTGGGGTGGGTTTTTCTCCCCACACAATAGCACTGGTAGAGCATTACAAGTGCAGTTCTGGGCATCAATTCTAGCCTCATGCATTTTTATTTCAGCTTCACAATCTTCAAAATGATTTTGCAGAAAAGAAATACACTTACTAACCCTATTTGCACATGGGAAACTAAGAGTATAGTCATGCTGAACACAAGGCTTAGCTCAGTCTGTTCAACAGTCCTGTCTAACCCCAGAATCTGTAACTGAATATGTCCGAGGGGAACTTCCTCTCAAAGCTAGACAGAAATTAAGCATTTCTAGGCACCCCATCAGAGAAATTCTCAGTCATCACAGTCTAATGACACTACAATATTACAGCAGAATAAGAAAATTAAAGAGGAGGATAGGCCAGAACCACAGTTTTATTTAATTGCTGAAGAGATAAGCAAGAAAGAGTATTTGAAATTTTTAGGAGGAGGAGTGGGAAGTGGAAAAGGTCAAAATGGAGAAAAAGACTACATAGTACCAAGCTATGCATGACCAGGGCAACTTCAGAGGCACCCGACCCATGTGGCCGCCACTTACAGATGAGCACAAGACCAAACATGTGGAAAGATTTTGCTATTTGACAATTGTGCACGATGCACAATGGTACTCTTGGAAAAATTTAGTTGCAGATTAAATTTGTGACAAACTACCTGGCAGCAAATTACAGGCATAAGCATGGTGAGGCAGCTCCCCAAAACATTATTTAAGTATCTCACTATATACTACACAAATCCCCAGTAACTGGATCTTGCAGGAGAAGAATCTATTTGTATTTATACACATCATGTTCCTCTCTGCATGGATTTATACATGCAGACATTTTGCTGTTAAAAGATTTTCAACACGTTATTTCCTCTTGGTTCTTTTACATTAACTTACAAGTATAGGAAAGAATGATTAACTGATTATCTACAGATAGTCTTTACTGCACCTAGGACACCAAGAAAAGACAGATTTCTAAATTATTTGAAAATAACTGTTATAATAAATAATTCAACATATGAAGTCAGGCATATCGCTCGCAGACTGTTTTAAGAGCATGCTTGGGCCCTTTGCAGATCCCAGGTTCATAAGTCACTGCTCTGACACAGATGTCATATCCATGTGGATAACACTCCAGGCTGCGGCCAGCACCAATGCTGTAATTGGAATTGCTCTTCAGGAACACGGCAGAGCAGCTCTTGATGGCAGCATGGCCCTTCGAAGGCTGGCTGGCCTACTCCATGGTCAGAGACAGGGAAATCCGTTCTCACGAGACTGACACCAGAACAGAGTTTCCATCCTTTAAAGAACTTGGCTTAAAGAAAACCCTGCTGCTGCTTTTATTGTCTCAAGTGATCCACATTTTAAACTAAAAAAAACAGCAGTTGATTCTATATTTTTAGAGCTGCATTTATCAAGAAATGTGACCACTGACTATAAT